ATAGATATAGACAGCCAGATACACGCACACATAAATATATACTATAATGTTGTAATCTAGTAGATGGGTGATAGGTTAATAATTTATAAACAATTAGAAGTTGGGAAGGTGTGGCAATCTAATATTATTGTAATATATAGAATTCAACTAGAGAGGATAACGCTCCATTCCTCTTTCCCCACGAGCTGTAACGAAACTCACTGCTTTACCTCTCGGCTTAAGACAGCAATAAAGCAGCTATTGGAAATATCGGAGGGCTCCATCCGGAAGAACCTCTGTTCAGATACGTTGACCTCCGACTTGGAACACAAAGGAAGAACAGGCGGACAGAGCCTGCAGGAGAGAGAGACACACACACACACACACAGGACCTTGAAAGGATTGCGGCAAATCAACATGTTCCAAAGCTGTGCTGATCAGCAACTGGGACGAAGTTATTTGGTCCACTAAATAAAGAACCAAAGGATCTTGCGCAAGAAAAACACAAAAGACACATATAGACTGGGTGAAACCAGGCTTCATAGCAGTAACTGTGCGGGGATTCTTGGAGTCTTAGTGGACAAAGAATTAAATAAGATCCAACAGTGTGTGGCAGCAGCCAAAAAAGCCAACGCAATCCTAAACTGCATTAACAGGGATACAATCAAGATCAAGGGAGGTACTAATACCATTCTATAAAGCCTTAGTAAGGCCACGCCTAGAATCCTGCATCCAAGTTTGGTCGCCACACTATAAAAAAAGATGTGGAGGCTCTAGAAAGAGTGCAGAGAAGAGCAACCAGGATGATGAGGGGACTGGAGGCTCAAACATACAATGAACGGTTGCAGGAACTGGGCATGGCTAATCTAGGGAAGAGAAGGACCAGGGGAGACACGATAGCAGTCTTCCAGTATTTGAGGGGCTGCCACAGAGAGGAGGAAGGGGGTCAAGCTATTTTCCAAAGCAACCTAACAGCCAGACAAGGAATAATAGACTGAAATTGATCAAGGAGAGATTCAAGCTGGAAATAAGGAGACATTTTCTGACAGTGAGAACAATCAACTCATGGAACAGAAGTTGCCTTCGGAAGTTGTGGGAGCTTCATCACTGGAGGTTTTTAAGAAGAGACTGGACAACCATTTGTCTGAAATGGTCTAGGGTCTCCTGCCTGAGCATTGGGTTAGACTATAAAACCTCCAAGGATGTGGGAGGAGAAGATAGAGAAGGATGAAGAAGGAAGAGAAGATAGAGGAAGAGGAGGGAGGAGAAGATAGAAGAGGATGAAAGAGGAGAAGATAGAGAAAGATGGAGAAGGAGGAGAAGATAGAGGAAGAGGAGGGAGGAGAAGATAGAGGAGGATGAAAGAGGAGAAGATAGANGTCCAAAGAGATCCACGTTTCGATTTCTTTCCAAAAGCACTTTAGGGCGCAAACGATATTCAGGAGCTTGGCGGTTCGACGAACATCGGTCTCAAATTCTAGGGGGAGGGGGGGAAGAGGGGGAGGGAAACAAAAACCGAAACAAACCAAGATGGCGCCCACTTCAAAGCCACGGGCGAGAATGTTTGGTCCCCGTAGACGGGGGTGGCTCTTTGGATTTAATCAGTCGTTTAGATGCCGAAGGGCTAAGCGACCCGTGTTTTGCCCCGATCCAACGATAGTAACAGTGGCTCGCCGAAATCTGGGCCCTGTTCCCTTGGGGGTTAAAATACGGCATCATCACCGGGGGCAGGACGATCTCAACAGGCTTCAAAATCATGACTCGGTCGTCGTTCTTCGATTTCCCGACGTTCCTCTGTTTCTCCAAGACTTTTTGCATGGTGGAGGTGGTGGCGAGGTTGTTCTTGGCCATCACGGGAAGAGACGAGTTCGAAATAGGGTTGGTGGCTTTCTTCAACGTTACGGGCTCGCTGGTTTGGTGCAACACCTGAGAGCTGCTGGGAGCCACCTTCGATCCGGGAGACTCCATCGTTCCGGATTTCATTTCTCGTTCCAGGAACTCCTGGATCCGGGATTGCATCACTGCCTCTTTGATCGGGTTCTTCGACGGGGCGGCTCGGTGTTTCTTCTTCTTTTTCTCTTCTCTTTTTGACGGCTTCGCCAGGTCGATACCATCCAGTAGGCCTTTCGCCGCAGCACGGGCCAAAACGTCTTTCACAGTCACCGATTCGGACGGGTCGCGCTAAAAAAAAACAAGAAAAGGACAAGGGTTAGCGGAGCTGGAAGCCCGCCAAGGGGACTGCGATTGGAATACAGGCAGTCCTTGACTTAACAACGGTGAGGAAGTCCAAAAATTTATGTCGCTAAGCGAGAACGTTGGTTCAGTGAGGTTCACCCCATTTTACCACCTTCCTGGCCACNCTCCTCCTCCTCCATAATCATCACCATCACCACTGCTGTTACAGTACCCCACTGACCGAGATATTCCACAAAAAGGAACAGGTTAAGTTTCATTAGAAAGTCCACCGATTATCAAGGCAAATGTCCTGTTCTTAAAATATCAAACCTTTTTCCCCGACCCAGCTTGCGCGTCTATTTTCTTCTCACAAAAGGTTGCAATTAACTCCTGCAATTTTTGGTCAGGATATTCCCTAGCAAGAGAACAAAACACAATTTGGGAGCAATCTATTTCTCTATTAGAGCCATTAATTCTTTTTTTTTTTTTTGAAAATGTAAAGTTCAGGGACTTCAGCAGAGCACAGACAATGCCCCCTCATGCAGTTATGGGGCCTGTTGTTCATTCACGTGCTCAATTTGGACACTGTCCAAGTCTTCAAAAAAGAAAAAAAAAGCAAATATGAATGGGGATAAAACAGCCAGTTTCACATCTAGATTGGGTTTCTGTAGTAGAATGATCACTAAACAAATGATTGTTACGCTTTGGACTACCTGTAATGCATTCAGTTTCTCAGCTACTGAAATTGTTAGCTGAGCAGGGACAAAAATAGCCAGAGAAATGACTGAAACAGGGCTTTCGTCATTCAACAGGAATGCTGAATGACACAACCGGAGGGTTGAATGACACAATAGAAATATCACCATCTTATCAGGAGCCAAGGGCACAGCAGCACAGGGAAACAACAACCAACAACTTAATAGCCAGCCATCAACACTCTAATTAATAACCAAAAAGCTATACACAATGAGGCACCATATAAATACAACGTTTAGAACAACCCCAGTACACATATTCTGGAGAAAGAGAAATTCCGTGAGGATGGGCCCCAAGATGAGCCTGAAAGCTTGAGAGAATAAATATTTTATCCCAGTGACTGATTCAGATTGGATCATGCAACTACTTGAAATTGTTTGCAGAGATTCTCAGTCCTCCAAGTCATGGTTGTCCCAAAGGGGCTTTTTTCAGGAGGCAACTGGACTTTCTTATTTTTTTTTCTTTTGGAGACGTTTTGCTTCTCATCCATGAAGCTTTTTAAAAGGAAGGATTTATATTCCTTGCAGGCAGCTGGTCATTTGCATCCTTTTAGAGGGTCGTTGAGGCCACTTGGAGGTTTATCTGTGTCCTCGGGGTCACCTGAGTGGTGCAAATGGTTCTTGCAGTCTGCAATTTTTCTCTCTGTAAATCCATTCCTCCTTCCACACCATTCCAAATTGCATAGCTAAAAGTATGTAGAGATTCTCAGACATCCTCAATGACCAGGTCATGGACAACCATGGACCAAAGCACCTTTGGGACAACCATAACTTGAATGACTGAGAATATAAATCCTTCCATTCTCCACCATCCCGTCAGAGCTGAAGAAGCATCTTGGATGACAAGTGAAACCTTTTCAAATAAGAAGAAAGTCCAGTTGCATCCTGAAAACAAACACCTTTGGGTGTGTTCATCCCAAATTATGTAGCTAAAAGTCTATAGAGATTCTCAGTCATCCAGGTCATGGTTGTCCCAAAAGTGCTTTTCTTCATGAGGTAACTGGACTTTCTGGGTTGTTGTTGTTTTTGAAGACATTTCGCTTCTCATCCAAGAAGCTTCTTCAGAGCTGAAGAAGCTTCTTGGATGAGAAGTGAAACGTCTTCAAAGAAAAACAAGAAAGTCCAGTTACCTCATGAAAAACACCTTTGGAATTACCTGTAATGTATTGGGCAGTGTTGGAAAGCAAAGCTTATCAAGGATAGTATCAGAGCCTCTGAAGCAGTGGTGAAATCCAATCCTCCCCGGTTCTGTGGGCGTGGCTTGGTGGGGTGTGTGTCATGTGACTGGGTGGGCATGGCCAGCTTCCCCCCCGCCACTTTCAGCTATTTTTTTTTAGCTTTTTAAAGCATTTTTTCCTGCAGTTTGTCTGAACCAGCAGGGAAAAAATGTTTTAAAAGCTTGGGGAAAACAGCTTCTGAGGATCGTGCAGCTCAGCTATGAGCCACGCGATTGTCAGAAGCTATTTTTTTCAGATTTTTAAAGCATTTTTTTCCTGAGCTGGCAGGGAAACTTTTTTCACTACCGGTTCACAGAACCAAGGAAAATCGTCCCTACCAGTTCGGCCAAACTGGGTCAAACCAGGCTGAACCGGGAGGAACCGGGCCGAACCGGGCTGAGCCAGGCTGAACCGGGCAGAACCGGGTGGAATCGGGCCAAACTGGGCTGAATCGGGCTGAACTGGATGGAACCAGGCGGAACCGGGCGGAACTGGGAGGATTTCACTCATGTTCTGAAGGGCTTTGCGTATGTGTTGAATACCCTATTTTCGACTGAAACCACCCAACCATTGTGCTGCTTATCCTTTCATCATTTTTCTTTGAAGGGAAACTTCGCCTGAATTTTCAACGGATGTTTTTTTAAAAAGGAAAAGAAAAATCTTTGATCTCCTCATGGTTGCCTCATTGAAAGACGAAGAGTCAACAAGTCACTTGAGGGCACCTAGTCAATCAGAATGTTTGAGGAGCTCCGGATGACTTTGTGGATTCATCCGTGTTATTTTCTTGAAAAACTTCATGGAACTTCTGGAATGGATTTTCAACTTGTAGTCTCATCCCAAATATTAACTAGATTTTATTCTCCTTGGCTTTCTGAGATCTTTTGTCAAGTGTTCCCATTGAGCTCAGTGGGTGGAGCAGAATTGTCCTTCAAAAATCAGCCCAGCTTAGGTGTTTCTATTGAATGTGGTATGTTTTTTAGGTAAAGATAAAGGTTCCCCTCACACATATGTGCTAGTCATTCCCAGCTCTAGGTGGTGGTGCTCATCTCCATTTCAAAGCCGAAGAGCCAGCGCCTTCTGAAGACGTCTCCATGGTCATGTGGCCAGCATAACTCAACGCCGAAGGCACACGGAACGCTGTTCCCTTCCCACCAAAGGTGGTTCTTATTTTTCTTCTTGCATTTTTTATGTGCTTTCGAACTGTTAGATTGGCAGAAGGTGGGACAAGTCACGGGAGCTCACTTCGTAACGCGGCACTAGGGATTCAACCCCCTGAACTGGCAACCTTTCTGATCGACAAGCTCAGCGTTTTAGCCACTGAGCCACCGAGCCGCCTGTGTAGCATTCACCTAGTGTTTCTTTTCTCTCTCCCACCGTTCTTTGTCTGTATTTTAACATTCGCAAGGCAGTAAAGAGAGAAATCTATTTTCCTGACTGCAATTTCATTAATAAACTGTATTTATAGAGTGACTGATATATGAATGTCAGAGCAGTTTCGGAAGCAGTAGGGGAAAATGAAATAAAATAGAAATTCTACTATTGCCTGGTTCTCTCCTGCACTCTCTTTGCTTCCTATTTTGCAACGTCTTTGGTAATCTCGGAAAGATAGATATTTATTTGCTTGTGTTACTGAATAGGACTGATAATGCAATGGGGAAAAAAGATTATTATGGGAGCAAAAAATAGATGTATGCTGTATTTTTAGATTTATCAACCCTGCTGGATTCAACATGAAATTTAATGTTGGAAAATGAATAACAGAGCTTAGAAACCTTGGAAACATGGGGAGAAATGGGGGTGGGGGAAGCAGCATCTAAAGAGAGAAAGGGACCGGACAAAGTTGGATAGTGTGATTGTCATGAATTTTAATGCAAAGCATTGTTGTTCCTACGATGTCACTGAAGAAGGAAGTTTTGCATTTGAATGTAACTTTTATTGGACCAGAAAGAAATTTCTGATTGCATTAGTTTTGCAACTGGTTATCCTTTTATTCACTTTCTTCTCTCCCCCTCTCACACAAACACATTTCTCATTTCCTCCCTCCCTCCTTTCTCCTTCCCCTTCCCCATTTCCTCTCTCTTTCCCTCACCTTTCTCCCTCCCTCCCTTCCTTTATCTCTCCCTCCCCTTCCATCCCCCCTTCCTTCCTTCCTTCCTTCCTTCCTTCCTTCCTTCCTTCCTTCCTTCCTTCCTTCCCCTTTCCCATTTT